AGTCTTATTTGTTTTATTTCGGCTAGAATAAATGCAGTTATTAATTAAAAAAAAAACATTTTTGGGACAAAATTATTAGCCCTTTAAGCTATTTTTTTTTCGATAATCTACAGAACAAACCATCGTATAACTTCCATAATTACCCTAACCTGCCTAGTTAACGTAATTAACCTAGTTAAGCCTTTAAAGTTCACTTTAAGCTGTATAGAAGTGTCTTGAAAAATATCAAGTAAAATATTATTCACTGTCATCATGACAAAGAGAAAATAAATCAGTTATTAGAGATGAATTATTAAAACTATTATGCTTAGAAATGTGCAGAAACAATCTTCCCTCCATTAAACAGAAATTGGGGGAAAAAATAAACAGGGGTGCTAATAATTCTGACTTCAACTGTGTAATGGCAGTGAATGGTGACCGGTTTTACGACTAAAAATAAACACATATGAACGAGGCCAAATCAATAGCCATGGCTCCTGATGACACTCTTGCGATCAGAAACGATCGCTCAGTGTAAGAAATTAAACATTGTTTACAATATTATCAGCTTTAATCCACAGCCTGGACAAACAGTTATCTTCAAAAGCAACCAGACTACATTCGCACATATGTGCCCATTAGACATGGGCTGGTATAAGTTACTGACCGGATGCTAAACCTGGATATAAATATGATGGTTTCACGATATGACGGTATTGTGGTAACTGTTCAAAAATAATTTCTTTTTAAATGTCTTAGTAAAAAACAACTTCTTTCGCCATTTAACAACACAATAAGTAGTGCGTTCACACTGACAGCTCTAAAAATAATAAGTGCACTTTAATTACTCGGATGATGCACTCACTCAGCTGGTAAAATGAAGTGTGATGGTGGACACTTCACGCACTCAACGTCCACAGCTTTGCTCACGTAGCGAAAGGGGTGGAGCTATCAGGCGCTCATGTTGGATTACTTTGGCTGTTTCTCAGAGAATGGACTTGCGTTCTTGTGGAGAGCGGTTTTGCCAGGTGTCCTCGAAAGAACGAACCCGGGAGACCACTAGAACAGAGAACGCGTCCTGTGAGGAATGAGATGCTGCGTTCTTCCTGATAGTCATGTGACCGTCTCGCGTTTTAAATAGAAAATGATTTAAACATTACAGCATTCATACCACCATTTATTGTTTTTCCCCTTTTCAAAATATATGCTATCCATAAAGACTTTACAAATATACGCTGCACAATATAAATAAAACAGATTTTAATAGGAATTTCAGCAAATAAACACCCTTAATGTGTTTATTCCTTTATTAAGATGTTCATGGTAATGTTTACTTTCAGCGTTTCATTTAGGGAAACTCCTGAGGGAAATCTCTGAACATTAATAATAAATCTAAATAAAATGCTGCGCTTCCCATCTTCAGATGCAATGACTTTGGGACTTCTAGACCGAGTTCAGTGCTCAAGTCTGCATCGCTGCATCCTTGATATCAAAAACACATCCGGGAAGTTTCACGCGTCCTCTGTTCTTGCGATCGTGAGTATTGGAACTGAACTTTGGCAGCTGATGATGACGTTACACAACAACACGAGGACACAAGACTGCTAAAGTACGCATATTGAGAAACAGCCTTTATTTATTTCAGATTGTAAAAAGCGAAATTCTCCTACGAGAGTGATTATAGCGCCTCCCGATGGAGAAAGCGGCAATACTTACGGCAGGTATTATTTGGTACTTTAGTCATTTGTTTCACTGCATTTGACGATTAATTATCGGGAAACGGTTTGAATTTACGCTTAGTAAAAAAACATTAGTGCTCCATTTGGGACGACACTACATACAGCTGTTGAATGTTTAAGTGCATAAGTACATAGTGCATGAGTGCCATTTGGGACGCAGCTACTGTCTTTCCCCTCACAGCTGGTGTGTGGTGAAGCACTGGCGCTGTTGTCCTGTGCCTGCCGTCGCATCATCCAAGTGGAGTGGGTTTATGGCCATACACGATAAAGGCTCTCCTTACATTTTAGTCTCTTTTCTAGGGGTACGGAGACAAAAGTAACAAAAAAAAAACTATTTAATTTAAATATATTTAATAAAAATATATCATTTTAATTGGATCGAATTGATAAATTAATATTTAATAATGTGCGCGGAGAATCTCCTTTTTCTCTATCCCAGCATACTTTCACTTCAGATATAATAATAAAAAAAAACTCTAAAAAAGAGATTTCAAAAGAAAAATATTTTCTTTTATTCACTGTTTAACAAAGTTCAATATATGTTTACATTTCCAGAAAGGGTAAACAAAAACAAAGAGATACTTAAATGAAAATTCTCCTAGCCAAAATCATTATGAGAGGGTAAGGCCAAAATAAAAAAATAAAAACTTCCTAAATTGACAAAAAGTTCTAAATTTGTTTTATATATATATATATATATATATA